GGGGGGGGGCACCGCCTCGCGCTCTCCCCCTCACACACCCCCCAACCCCCCAAAACCGCTCCCCAACGGACCCCGCGCGCCACCACAGCGAGCCCCTACCCGGCGCCGCGTCACGTGACCCCGCTCCTCGTCACGCGGCAGCGCGCGTGCGCCCCTGCGTGCCTCCCTTCCGCCCCGTCCCATCCCTCCTCCCCCTGCCCCGGCGCCATGGCGGTGTTCCACGATGAGGTGGAGATCGAGGACTTCGAGTACGATGAGGAGACCGAAACCTACAGCTACCCGTGCCCCTGCGGGGACCGCTTCCTCATCACGCGGGTAACGGCGGCTGGGCGGGCAGGGAGGCGGTGGGGAGGGAAGCGAGGCGGTGTGGCGTGGGGGGGGAACAGCGCTAGGCCGCGGCCCCGCCGGGTGCCTGAGTCGGAGAGGCGGCGGGGTCGGTGACTGTCTCCTTCCCGGGGGCTGTTGCAGGAGGACCTGGAGAACGGCGAGGACGTGGCCACCTGCCCCAGCTGCTCCCTCATCCTGCGCGTCATTTACGACCAGGTGGGTGCAGAGAGGGGGCTACCCCCGGTCGGGCAAGTGGAGGTTCGGGTTGCCGTCCCCTGAGGAAGGCGAGGTGGCAGTTTTTAAAAGTCCCTGGTAAAGATGGGGTCGGGTTGGGTGAGCTCGTGGCCCTTTCGTTTGTGACTCGGGTTCCTGCCTCATCATCTCTTGTTTTCCTGGTGTCCTGCTGCTGCCGTGCTCGGGGTTTAACACATAGAATCACAGAATGGTCCAGGCTGGAAAGGACCTCCAAAGGTCAGCTAGTCCGGCCTCCCCACAGTCAGCGGGGACACCCCCAACTAGACCAGGTTGCCCAGGGCCTCGTCGAGCCTCACCTTGAATATCTCCAGGGAAGAGGCCTCAACCACCTCCCTGGGCAACCTGTTCCAGTGCTCCACTACCCTCACAGTAAAGAACTTTTTCCTAATATCCAATCTAAATCTGCCCTTTCCCAACTTAAAGCCGTTGCCCCTTGTCCTGTTACTGCAGGCCTTTGTAAACAGGCTCTCCCCAGCCTTCCTGTAGGTCCCCCTTAGGTACTGGAAGGACGTCTCCCCAGAGCCGCCTCTTCTCCAGGCTGGACAACCCCAGCTCCCTCAGCCTGTCCTGTAAGCAGAGGTGCTCCAACCCCCTAATCATTTTCATGGCCCTCCTCTGGACCTGCTCCATCAGGTCCATGTCCTTCCTAATGCCTGCTTGTGTGAGCATCAGGTGGAATGCTGACAAAACAACATCTGCAGTGTTAAGATCTATCTATGACTCTAGCAGCCCTATCAGCTAACATAATAGTTTTTCTTATTTAGTAGTTGTTTTATGGCTTTCGTGTTTGGAGAGACAGATTCATACCAGCTATGCTCAGGCTAGAAAGCAAAATGTTTATCTATCTGTGGTTTTTTTTGGAGGGAGGGGAAATCCAAAAATAATGTAAATCAACTAAAACTCTTATTTGCTGCCTTTAGGAACAGTTCATGCGTGATGAAGTTGTTGCAGAACCTTTGACAAACAAGGAATTGATTAAATGCTGATGAATACATCCTAAACCATTGCTGCTTTAAAATAACTAAGGGGATGGCACCTGCAGAAAAAGACATGGTCCTCTTCCTGGAAGTGCTCGCTAATGTGAGATCCAAGTGCAATAACTGACTGTCTCCATACTTTGAATGAGAATTTGCTGGGACATCCACGCATGAATGGGTTTTGTTCAAAGGGGTTGTACATTAAAAAAAGTTGCCATATGTATACCAGAAGACTGGAGGAGTATGATCCCAGTTGACAGGAAGTCAATATATAGAAGAAATGTGCAGAGCTGTGAAATTAAAACACTTATCTAGCAATGGCTTCTTAGCCTATGGAGAAGAGCGGGTGACGTGGGTGTGTATCCGTGTGAAATGGCATAGCGAGCTGAAGTGTTGAGAGACAAGTCTGTGTGACATGATGCTATACAGAATTACAGCTTTGACACACTGTGGTGTCACCCAGGATGTGGACTCACATACTTCCAGCCCATACTTAATATGGGGAAAAATTAAGAGACCCAGAACTAACACTGTTGGTAAACTGTTTTTACTACTGCAAGCACAGAGAAGCTGCAGTTGTGTTTATGTCTGCAGCGGATGTAACACCTGAGTTGGTGGGGAAAATTCATTTCTTAAATCGCAGTTGCTTTGAAACAGCTTTGGTAGCTGTTATCAAATGGCTTTCTGACATAATAATGATGTACTTTTGTGGATGTTGTGTGAAATGAAAGGAGTCCAACTTTTTTTTTACCTGCACAGATAGTAATGCGCAAAGGGATTTGAACTCACAGCAGATTCGAGTTTACCTGTATTTTCTCAACAATTTTATGTTTTGACTGTTGCAGCAAATACAAGATGTGCTGCAGTTCTTTGTGCCATTTGTAGTAACACATTTGCTGACTTTCTCAGTCTTCCTTTTTGTTTTCTGTCATTTCCTGGATAGGAGAGCACACATTTTACTTAATAAAAAGGATTTTTTTTTACGGTAGAAAGAATTGGAAGAACATACTCCAAAGTACATTGATTCCAAGACTACTTCTTGTATTACAATCCACTGAATTTAAATATTTATTTAAAATTATGGTCATTCATGTGTTTTAGTAGGATTTGACATCCGTGAAGTTAAATTTTGGGAAAAATACTTGTGCAGCATTTATATAGTTATTTTGCTCCAGGCACTAAAGATAAGCAAGTCTTACTGAATTCTTGCGTTTAACTATTTTTGTTCTTCCAACGTTCTGTGAATGTTGAAGATGAACATTCTAATTCTTAAAAAAAAAAAAAAAGGGAAAAAAAAAAAAAAAAGAAAAACCCTAAACCCTTCAGTCAGAAGTGTTGAGTGCAACATGCACAACCCAAAGTGTTTTCATGTCTAAACCAGAAGGTGGCACTCACGTTACTTTGATATCTGTGCTTCAAGAGAAAATAAATAGCTGTGGTACTTTGGTTAGCTATATCTTATCAAATATTTATTTTGACTATTTAAATAAAGATATTTTTAAATTGCACCAGTGGTTATGATGGCCCATTGCTTCTTCAGTTTGTGCACCAGTCACAGTGATTTCCTGAGGTCTTGAGTTGCTGCTATTGCTGTTGCAATGATACTGGAATTTCTTTGGGTTAGCTAGTAAAAAGTGTTTCAGTGTATCTATAGATGCTATAAACAAATTTACAGGAACTGTATTTAAGTTTCTATTGAAATTTCTACTGCATAAATAACTTAAGGATTTTCCTACAAGTTTCCTACATAAAACTAAGTTAAGTTTCAAATGGAACACCAGGGAACGTATGCTTGGAAATAATGGCATCAAAGTAAATTGCCAGGTGTATCATCTCTAAAGGTGCATAGATTTTACAGAAGTAATTTGACCATGTTTAATTTTATAGTGAAGGTAAGGCACTGTTAAGACTTCTATGACACTGATGTAGAAAATTATTTATAGTCCATATGGTTGTAAAATGTTTCTCAATTTAATTTTTGCTTGGCATGCACTAATACAAGCTTTGAAGTGATTCTCTGTAGTGTTCCCCGCTCGTCTAAAATAGAGGTAATGGTTTTTTTAACAGTAACTTTAGCAAAATTAATTACTTGAGTACAGGAGGAGTGGAGTTCTGTCACGACAGAGTTCACCCTTCGTGAAAGCTCAGCGATGCTAAAGCCAAACAGCCGCCCACTTCCGTGTTTTGTTAACTTGTAAGAAACCTTTGACTCCCGTGATTTCAGACAGCTTTTTAAAGTTCTTCCATACTGTGTAATTCCAAAACAGCAGTCAAGGCAATCTGAGTAACCCGTCAGAAATGTTCTTTGCTGGAATCCAGTCACGAGGTTTCTTCACGGCCCAGCGTGCAGGCCCTGTACATGTTACTTGGGTATTGCATGTTCTTAGAAACAAATGGTTTGCTTCTCTTCTAAAAAGGCCATTGTGTAGGACACAAAGAAGTCTTTTGCTTGCTGTTTGTATCTGACCAGCAGATTGATTGATTACGTATTTGATTAGGTCCTTGACTCTGCAGAGGAGTCCAGTGTGATGAAACCAGCATTGTGTGAACATTAATGGAGTAAGTTGTAATTACTGGAGATTAGGGAGCGTAGAATAATATCAGCTTCAGATATTCAAGCTCTGAAATTGCTAATGCAGTTAAACACCACTAAACTCCCATGTAATGTTAAAAACAAGCAATACGCTCTGTTGCCAGGATTTTATGGGAAGAAGTGGAAGATAATTTGTTCTTCATTAAACCAAAAGAGGCTCAGCTTCTCCAAGCAGTCAGATTCTTGTTTGTGTTTCAAAGAACCTTGCTGAGAAGGTCACGTACTTTTGACTCCCCGTGCCTGTCTATCAGGGGCATACATGATTAATTTTGAATAGTTGCTCCAGAAGTCCGTGACAGGGACCCTGGACCTCCAGGAGCTGAGGTCATGAGGCCACCAATTTCAGCCGTTGCACTTGCTCCATTTGTCTGTGTGTCGGGGAAGCCGTGGTGTCCTTAAGGACCCTTATGTAAATACCTCGGGATTTCTTCCCTCCATCACAAGCTTTAACTTCAATTCTCAGCACCAGTCAAAAAAAATTACCTCCTTTTCAGAACATCAGTTAAATAAAGAACATTACCTAGGTTACTAGGCTGTCTAACAAATGCTGATTAATTTCAAATAAACCTTCAAAATTTCAGTTAAGAAAGTGCACAGACAGCTCTGTGTTGTCACAAAGAGAAACAGTTCCCACGTATCCCACTTCTATTCCAATTTAATGTTCGAATCAGGCTAACTGTAAGGGTAGGTATTTGTTACACTGAAAACTTCCTGAAATGGTTTTACAGACAGGATTTATCAAGATATTTAGCGTAGTAACAAATGTGTGCCGTGGTTTTCTCTTTGCACAGTTCCTTGTGGATTGCTTTCTCTTTAATTAGGATGTAGCTTTGACTCTGCTTCGTGGTAGCTTAAAATGCTAATTTTGTACTGTCTCTGCATAGTAGCTGTGACATGGAGGAGATGGGGAGGATCCAGAGGATCCTGTGTAACCGTGAAGATGCTGGGCCCTCTGAGTGACAGAGGCAACAAGTGACAGAAGCAGTGCCAAACTGGAAAACAGCTGCCACCGGGTGTCAGGGAAGAAGTGGGTCAAAAGGGACTAACCAAGAGGGCAAAGGGACCTTAAACGACCTTTCATTGCTCCTTCCCACCCCATGCCGTCACCGTTTCGATCTGTCTGTGTACCAGGTGGTCACCTCTCCAAAGTTCTTGGCAGCTCAATGGTCCAGCACATGCTCCCTGTCACGTGGTGGCAAATCATTGCCCTGCTGCTGAGCACAGCCAGCCCAGAGGAGCTCGCTCCCAAGGCCAGGTGATGCACCAAGGTCACCAACGGAGCTGCACCATCGTCCAGCTGGCCGGGCAGTCACCCTAGCTGCTGTAAGAGTTCAGGTTATGTGCTACCACACACAATTCTAGCCCTTGAACCAGGTCAAGCAGAAAGTGGT